CCGATATACAGAAGCTCGCCAATTTCATTTTATCCAATTTTGGCGTCTATCCCGAGTATCACTCACAGTCGACTTTCAACGCGACTCGATATAAGAAGCGCCATCTCTTTCACGCCAGGTTCTCATATATTTTTTTCTTGCAAATATTTTTTTCTTGCAAAATTGTATAAATTGAATAAGTTTTGCAATAATAATAACGAAAATAATTAATAGAATTTATAATAAATAAAAAAAATTGAAAAAACACACAAATATTTTATATTATATGATTCACCAGAATAGCTTCACTTCGTGTTGTTTACGTTATTTCTTTTGACAGATATCAATGTTTGACAAATACATATTTTCTCCACGTAACCATCTCTACATGGTTTACAAGGCAAAGTCTACAAGGCAAAGCTACATATCATATAATATAAAATATTTGTGAGTTTTTTTCAATTTTTTTTATTTATTATAAATTCTATTAATTATTTTCGCTATTATTATTGCAAAACTTATTCAATTTATACAATTTTGCAATTTTATTTGCAAGAAAAAAATATATTAGAACCTGGCGTGAAAGAGATGGCGCTTCTTAAATCGAGTCGCGTTCAAATACATTGTCAATATACAACGCAAGTGATACTCGGTCTATCCATGGTATGTTTACCATTACAATGAAATAAATTTATAAATTGAATGAGCTCAAACTAGTTTAATTTTTTTAGAAATGCCTAATGTTGAGCCTATAGTTATGCTGTTTGGTGTGGCATTGACAAGCCAAAGGGTGTGAATAATTTTTTGCGCCCCTTTGTTACAGAGATTCATCACCTGATTAGAAATCCAATAGTAATTAATAACTACCGCATCACCGTTCGTATTCGTTGTTTTATTTGTGATACACCTGCACGGGCACTTATAAAGGGTAATTTGTCTAACTATTTGGCTTACGTATTTTCGTGAATACTATGAAATATAATATTTTATATAGGACTTGTTGGACACAATAGCTACTTCGCGTGTCAGAAATGTATGGCTGAAGGCGTATATTTTAGAAATTTATTCAAAATTAGTTTCCCTCGTATTGCTTCGACAGACGATGAACGAAATAAAGAGCTACGAACGGATGAAAATTTTCGAAATAGAGTACAGCCAGAACATCATAAAGAATACTCAATTCTTGAGGAATTACCAATTAACATGGTTGAGAATTTTCCGATATCTGATGCTTTGCATCTCTTAGATCTCGGTGTAATGAAAAGGTATTCATCGTTATTTTATTAGCTATTGGGCACGCGTGTCTATTTAATATACGTTGAATATAAATGTGTATGAATTCTTATAATTATAGACTGATTTTTTTGTGGATGGGCAAATTGAAACGAGTTCGCCGAACTTGGTCAGATGCGACAATGGGTTCATTGATTTTATTGAGCACCATATCAATATCTATGGAGAAGGTAGTATAACTATAAATATCCACAATTTAAGTCATGTTGTCGATGATGTGGAACATTTTGGACCTTTGAATACATTGAGTGCATAACAGTTCAAAAATTACTTGCATCACATGAAAATGTCTCTGAAGTAATGTAGACGACCTTTGCAACAAATTGCAAGACGAATCGGAGAGTTTGAATCGAATTCAAAACCAAAATCGTTCAATGAAGATGAATGTGAATATCCAAAATTAAAAAATGATTTTAAGTGTCCCGATATGTCCAGAGCCTTCCAAAAAATTGAGCTAAATTCCAAACTGATGTTCGCCACCGATGCAAAAGGAAAGAAAAAAGATTCCTGGATATTATTACGCACAAACGAGATAGTTGAGTTTAGTTTCGCATTCATTAAAGATGGAAGATACAAAATTCGTGGTTCGGCATTTAAAACTTCAGAAAAAAATTTTACAAAGCCTTTTAACTCACAATACATCAACATACATTTATGTGATTGTGAAAAAAACGATCCTCAAGACTATGATGTGAGTTCAATCAAAGCAAAACTATTTTCTTTGACATATAAAAACAAACAAGTTTTTATTCCGTTGTTACATACGATATAAATACACTTTTGAATATGATGAGACGATTTAATTTTTTTTTCTGTAAATTGCAAACGATATTAAAATAATAATAAATGTTTGTAACTACAAAACAAACCATTTTCAAACTGCCTAATTCTTTCGGTTGCACCATATATTAAGAGACGCCGAGAGAAAACCACACATACATAGAGCGAGAGAGATTATCGGTATGGTGTACGTACTGTATCGTATTCTTGTAACATTGTCGCCGCATGCCGACGATACAAATACATATATTGTCCGAGAGAAACTTGATCCATTGCTTTGTTTTCTGCGCTTGTATGCGTGCGTCGCTTGTATACACAGCCACTGAGTCGCATGGATCAATGTGCGTTATAGGGAGAAACGTCAAAGCCGGCATAACAATCGTTGAATTGAGTGGACATACAATTGTGTTTTGACGTGAAATAAACTAAAAAATAATAATATTTTTGTGATCATTTGTTTTTAATATATTAAAATGTTGAAAAACACGCAAAGAAAAAGTATAATATTGGATTACTTGCCGGAAAAAGCCTATCCTGACCCAGTAAAATCGAGAACACGTGCGCCGATCTTCAATCGGAGAATTCCAACTGAACAGGAACTCGAACTCTCATTCCAAGTTGAGGCTTTGAAGATCGAAAATGACCTTCAACAAAAAACCATTTACGAGCAAAAATGGCACTTAGAAAGGAAGACGAAGAAACTTGGCGAACTTCGAAGTAAATTGGCAAATGTGACTAGTGAATTGGACGCACTGAAATCAACAAATGGACTCAAAAACAAACCAATAATGCTGGATAAAAAAATCCAAACAATGCGACAACGAAATAAAAACATTTCAACACAAACACATCCCGAACCGAAAGCAACTACATTTTTCAACCGATTCCACCAGCCAGACTGATTTTATTGCTGGAAGCTGTAGCGAAATGGACGAAGGAATACAGCCAGATGAAGCCAATGACGATACTGAGCCAATGGAACGCGACAACGACAGTGATGAAATCTGCGCAAATGTTGCTGGTGATCACAATTATTTTATGGTTCGCCCGAAAAAGGTTCAAGCAGTATTTAAATGCAAATATTGTGCATACAAAGTGAAAAAAGAAGACCATGTGGTTGTTCACATTCGTGAACATTGTAAGGCATCGCCAGAACGGGCACCAAAGGATCGTGAATCTGTTGTTTCTGGCCTTCGGCAGCACTTGAACCAGTTTCTCTCAACCACACACAAAAGCCGCGAAAATCATGCCAATTTGACGCCACAACAACACAAAAAATTATTGGAAAATGTCAAACCGAACATATAGTTTTAAGTTTATTATTTATTATATTAACTATTTATGACATTTTAAAAAATTGAATTAAAACTGAAATAAAATAAACGGAAAAAAATAATTTTGAATAATACAGTTGAATTTCTCTCGGCAGTGTGTACACTGTACACTAGCCGAGAGAATATACATATTGAATACTGATGCGGCTAGGGGGAAAGAACAAAATTTATTGAATTTTTATTTGGGGTTATTGCACGAGTATTAACATCTATTTACCGTATTGAACGATATTTACCGTATTGAACGATATTTACCGTATTGAACGATATTTACAAATATTGATCGTATTGAGTCATATTGTTGAGACGTAAATACTTGTCAATACGTGTAAATACTTGTCAATACTGGAAATGAATGTAAATACGCGTAAATAAAAATTTCGTTTGTCAAACCTAATGTCAAACTGTCTTATCGACTGAATTATTCATACAAAAAACTCTAAAAAGTATACTTTTTGTAAATAAAAAATAAAAATAAAATTTTTTTTTAATGTTTTCTAGCGGAAATTAATTTTCTTTTTAATTTTGCTGGGATTTGTGCGGTGATTATTCGCTGATTATTAAATCAAAAATAAATATGCGTAATATAACCTCACTTTTAATTACGTAATTAAAATTTACGTAATAAAGTCTAGAATAAAGTATTACCTAGCTTTATTACGTAAATTTTAATTACGTAATTAAAAGTGAGGTTATGTTACGCATATTTATTTTTGATTTAATAATCAGCGAATAATCACCGCACAATTCCCAGCAAAATTAAAAAGAAAATTAATTTCCGCTAAAAAACATTACAAATTTTTTTTATTTTTATTTTTTATTTACAAAAAGTATACTTTTTAGAGTTTTTTGTATGAATAATTCAGTCGATAAGACAGTTTGACATTAGCGATTGACGAAATTTTTATTTACGCGTATTTACCGGTATTTACATTCATTTCCAGTATTGACAAGTATTTACACGTATTTACACGTATTTACACGTATTGACATTTATTTTGTGTATTGAATCGTATTTTTTTAGCTTTTTGGCTTGTTCTTTCCCCCTAGTGATGCGGCAACACGTTACGGCTGTTTTCTTTCGGTGAGTAACGGCATGCACACTCCACCGAAAGAATAATATTCATATATCAATAACAATTAGCTGAGCGGCGCATTTGATTGAAAAAAATAAACAATTTTTTTATCATTGAATTGATTTTATTTTTCCTCTTAGGCGCGAATTAAAAAAAGTACACCATATATGTTAATTTATTTGTTCGAGCTCCCTTAACCTTTATATGCTCCTGGTGTAGAAAACTACGCATATCATTTTTATTTTTTATTTTTTTTCGAAAAATTCTAAACCAATTTTTATGAAACTTCTTGACTTTAATTTTTGCTTTATTTTAAACATAAAAAAATGTTACCCGATGTCAAAAGTATTTTTCGCATCGGAATATTAAAAAAATTACATAGACTACCTTCAGTGAGTAGATTTCTACTCATATGGGATTTCAACGTATTTGACGGAAAAAACGTCATTCAGTCAACGTTTGTTTGCAAGTTTAGTGAGTGTGTGCAATGTTGTGTATTGTTATGAAATTTTCTGAAGAATAATTTCAAAAATATAACATGGCTAGACCAAAATATCTTACACAAGAGGAGTTGGAAACACTATTGAATGAGACTGACGACGAAGATGCCGACATTAGCGATGACGAATGTGAATTACAAGAAGACAGTTTGATTGAAACAAGTGATTCTGATGTTGAAGAACCGGACGATATCGAAATTGATGGCTCAGCAGACGATATTGAAAAGATGGCATGGTTTATTTCAAAAGATGGCATAGTTTGGAACTCTGAACCAGTGACAGATCGAAGTGGAAGATTGCGTAAAGAAAACGTTATCACACTTTGTCCGGGACTAACAAGATTTGCAAAAAACCGTGTTGATTCTATCAAAGATGCATTTCTCCTTTTCTTTCCATCACCAGTTGAAAACATTATTTTGAAGAATTCGAATGCGTATGCAAAGGCGACGTATGGCGAAAATGCCATTGAAATCGATTCAAACTTATTACATGCGTATATTGCTGTACTAATCTTGGCCGGTGTATACCGTTGGATTTTTCTTTCATTTTTTGAGATGATTTTTATGTTTGGGTTTTTATTTTACCTAGATCAAAAAATGAAAATTTGGTTGATTTATTTGACGGTGAATATGGCCGTCCAATTTTCAGAGCGATCATGTCAAAGAAAACATTCCAATACATGAGCCGAGTTATGCGTTTCGATGATGTCATGAACAGACGACAACAAAAATCCACCGACAAGTTTGCACCAATTCGTGATTTATTCGATAAGTGGTCGGAACTTTTACCTGATTTTTACAATCCATCTGAATGTGTCACTGTAGACGAGCAACTTCTTGGTTTTCGTGACCGATGTAAGTTCCGGCAATACATGCCATCCAAACCAGAAAAATATGGCATAAAATTTTGGCAATTAGTTTGTTCTGAAACATGTTATGTATGGAAAATACAGCCATATTTGGGAAAAGCCGTTGGTGTTGATTCGGCTGAAAAAGGACAAGGTGCACGCGTAGTATTGGATCTTATTGGCGGACTGAAAGGTCACAACGTAACAATGGATAACTTTTTCTCATCTTATGAACTTGGGCAGAAATTGCTATCAAAAGGTCTCACAATGGTTGGTACGATGCGAAAAAATAAAAGAAGCATTCCACCAAAGCTCCTTGAATGTAAAAAAGTTCCTTTGTACCAGTCAACTTTTGCATTCACGAAAGACACAACACTCGTTTCATATGTCGGACGAAAAAACAAGTGCACGATTTTGCAAAGCACAATGCATAGTTCAAATGATGTAGGATCCGGCGACAAAAAATTGCCCGAAATTATAGAATACTACAACAAAACTAAAGGTTTGTCAAATGCTACTTTTTGATGCTAATTTGATATTTTTTCACATGATCTTTGATTTCTTTTCTTTAGGTGGTGTGGATACGGTTGACAAGATGCTTTCGTGTTACAGCTGTAAGCGCAAAAAAAATCGAGGGCCTATGGTCGTGTTTTCGAATATAATCGATATTTCAGCCTTGAACGCATTTATCATTTTCAAAGAAGTGTCACCGAATTGGCAAACAACACAGAAAACTACATTACGACGCAATTTTCTACGGGAACTTGGATATTCTCTTGCGCAGCCATACATGGATATGAGAAAAGGTGTGCCACGATCTGAATCATCAGCATCGCTTCTTTCAGCGAGCCGAGAATCCTTACAATGGCGTGTAAGTTCACCAGCTATTCAGTCTTCGTCTTCCTCAATTTCTCGTGAGTCTTCGATGTCACGTGAAGGTTCACCAACTTTGCTACCATCTACATCATTCGAAATTCCTCGTAAAAGAGCAAAAAGTGTTCCATCGGTGTCGAAAGGCAGATCAAGATGTCACATGTGCTATACTGAGAAATCCGCCAATAGAAATAATATGCATGAAACTATCTGTTGTTTTTGTACTAAAGGTGCTTGCAAAAGCACCCATAATCGAAATGTGTGCGTGAAATGTATTGTACTCACAGAAAAAGTGGAGACGGTTTTTCCGCAAATTATTGCAGAAACAGCAGAGCAGCACTAAAAACGTGTTTTTTGTAGCTTATTTTGACAGCTCCGTACAAATGTGTGTATTTTGACGTTTGACATTATTTGTCATCAGTTAGACAAAAAATTAGAGTCAATGTAAGTATTTATTTTTTGAATAATTTTTGTAATGTCGTTTTTGCAAATTAAATATCCTCATTTTTGACACAAAAAAAAGTATTTTTAATAGCGTTGTTGTTGTTTTTGTTTTCTTTTGATTTATAAATTACAATGACATACTTGATGTGATGACATACGTATTCATTACAATACATAATGCACATTCATATTTTGTGTGATTCTGGAATCAATACATTTAAAAAAACATCATTGATGCAAAAAATCGAATATTTTTATCAATAGGTGCTTTTAGAATTAGATATATTTGGTATTGAAAATTACATAGGTGTTATCTATTTACGATTTTATCTGTATTTTATAATTTTTAGGCGCTCAAAACCGCATTGTTTTCATATACTACTTATCAAATTTGATGTTCTCAATCATCAAATTGGAACATTTTGATAAACATATAACAAACAAATAAACAGAAAAAATTCAAATAAATATGGCACTGCGACATTACCCCTGTAAAAATAATTCCTGTTATAGGGTAAAAAAATTCCTGGAGAAATAATTTATGTGGAAAAATTTCCTGTATTACAGAAATTTTTTCCACCGGAAAAAATGACGTATTTCCACAGAAAAAAATTCCATAATGTGAAATACTCGTAAAGTGACGTTTTCCATTACTTTCATGTTTTCGCAAGTGGCCACCAAATTGTGCCAAAAATGTTCCACCCTAATGTGTAAGACAAAAATTGAATTCGTGGAAAATGTATAAATTCGATTTTACCTCACTTTTAATCGAAGTACGTTTAAAAATACACAAAAAAGCGGAATGTATGATATACGAACAAGGCATATGATTCATGTAATTACGGTGAGTTGGGGAGAAGCTCTTGAATATATAAAGTTGTAAAAAACTATTCCCTAGGGGGGAGACACCAAGAATAAATTCCGAATCCACTATATAAATTACTAATCCAGCTATTCCACTAATCCAAAAACACAAATGTGGAATCGAAACTATTTTTCCTATTCCATGCACTGTTTCCGTCAAAAATGTTAATTCTGCTATTCCACACTATTCCACTAATCCATCAATAAACGTCAAAAGAAATGTCAAATGGATTTGAAGTGAAACAATTTTTGCTATTCCATGCACTGTTTTGCTATTCCACGCGAATCCATTCACATACGTTGCTATTTCATTGAAATTTCTCGAATCTTTACTCTAAAAGTCTAATCCTATTCCACGTGTCTGCCCCCTAGACTATTCCCATACTATTCCCGTACTATTCCCTACTATTCCAAACTGAATAGTATATAATAGAAGAGAATAGTATATAAAACAATATTGTCAACAATCAAAAAAGTTTCTTTGTAATACTTTTCTTAGTTTTTTTTTTCTTTAAATTCATCAACTGAAAAAAAATCTTAAAAAATAAAGAAGAATGTGGAATTTTCATAAAATGATTTGAGATCAAATTGTCTATTATTACTTTTTTCTTGAATATACATTTTTTTTAAAATAAAATAAATAATACGCGTAATTTAAAATAAATAATCGCGATGTTGTTCTTATTGTGAGATTTTTTGTACGAAATTTATTATAGGAAAACCTCATCTGATTTTTCTACAGGTTGCATACAATAAGGGCAGCGAGGTTTTGTGAAATTATCATCATTTTGTTCAGAATCGTCTAAATAATTTTGTAGTTTTGCTCCTTCATACGTTTTCCATAAATACCAACACTCTCGACATAAATTCATGTGTCGGCATGGGTACAAGATAGTATTTCGTGCTTTTCCACATTCCATAATACAATTGAAATTATTTGGAATTGGTGTTGGATTCTTATTTTGCAAAAACTTATCAAATATTTCATGCCGTTTTAATATAACTGGGCCGCTTCTCGTAACCAGTGACAGGAAATCATTTGAATACACATCTACATTGCCACCATCGGAGTCAGAGTCACTTGTGCTTTTATCTTCATGAGGGCGAAGTTTGCGTTTACTGCGACTTGTATTTTTGCTCTTTTTATCGGATGAAAATTTGTGAAATTTAGAAGAAATTACTTGTGGCATATTACTAGGTTTAGTTTGCTTTGTCGTTATTTCACGTACGTTTCGGTGCTCATCATTTACACGTTTCGATCTAGTTCGATGAGCTGGGGGCTCTTCATCAATTTGTATCGGTTGAGTATCACGTACGATTTTTCGTTTTGTCGTTTGAAAATTAACGATTGCTTCAGAGGAAACATCTGCTGTAACTATATTGTTTACCCGCTTTGATCTAGTTCGATGAGCTGGGGCCTCTTCATCAATTTGTATCGGTTGAGTATCACGTACGGTTTTTCGTTTTG